CTAGAACATGGCTTGAATCACATGTTACTTGTCTAGAGAACTTACTCAAAAAATCTCACTGCTGTCAACAGATATGAGGAGGCAAAAGAGCCATTATACCCTCAAAACACACAAATATATGAGGCTGAAAATGGGTTGGCAGGCAATCCAAAAGCCAACGCGGCACTCTTCATTTCCTCCTTGATTTTTGCCACCACACTCTTGCCTTCCACTAAAACAGCAGGATGCTGGGTGTATTTAAGCAAACCAGATGTTGCCCTAGGTGAAGTGGAGTTGGAAATATGGAACAGCTGTCCATCTTCGGCCTCCCAAAATGCACTCAGCATTCTTCTGCTCCTAATAGAAGCAGATGGAGAATTGAGAGAGGGGGTGGTTAACAGCAAGGAACTGCTTACAAACTCAGCCAAAGCTTGTTTGGATTTGAGGAAAACAGCACGATGCCTTTCAAAGAGAAGGTCCTAGGCTGGAAGGTATATTCCAATGGAGGAAAAGCTGGATCTCACAAACAGTATAATTTTATGGTGACATCCAATGAAAGAGCACAATGTCGTGATGACATCCATGAAGGAGCACAAAATGTCATGATGACATCCATGACTAGCAGTTTCTCTTGATGTGGAGTGACCTGCCAGGTCTTGAACAGAGATCTGATAGAATAAGGCAAACAAGGACTTTCTTTAAAGTGGATCTTGAAAGGATGGCCCTTGTAGATCTGTGGAAGAGCACCTGGTTGGCATCCAAATAGTCCTAGGGTTCAGACTTTGACATCTCCAGGTAAAGATGAGATACTCTCATCTAAAATACTGGAGAGTTGTTATTGATCAGTGTATGGACCATACTGAGCTAGATGATCAACTGCAGTTTGGAAGGAAGCTTACCATGCAAGAAAGATCTTGGTGGCAAGGAGCTGAACATGGCACATGATGGTCCCTGCCCAGCATCCAGCTGGCTTGCATTCGTGAACCGAAATATGAGCTACAGGAAAACAAATGTCAAAGCCAGTCACCAGACAGACATAACCATGAAAGAGAGGGGTGATTCCTTCTTGCAAATTTGACATTCAATGAGAACCCAAACAAGGGCTTTACAGTTGTCAGTTTGTTGTTATGATTTGTCTTGATAACCCAATCACAGGTTTGGGGTTTTGTTTTGTTTTTTGGCAAATTTCTTCAGAGGGGGGTTGCCACTGCCATCCTCTGAGGCTGAGAGAGTGTGACTTGCCCAGGGTCACCCAGTGGGTCATCATGGCTGAGCCAGGATTTGCACCCTGGTCTCTCACAAGTCATAGTCCAACACTCAAACCACTACACCATGGTGGCTCTCTCCAAGTCAGTTATGGTGAGGAGGAAACATGGTAGAGATTTATATGTTATATTAAAAGGCATGAGATTTCATAGCATCAGAGTTCAAGAATATGGAATGAATGGCATTTTGCTGCAGGCCAAACATTTTGGAAATGTTGCTGTTGACAATCGGGGAAGAAATATGCCATAAGGAGAGAATGTTTTCATGGTAGAAGTAAGATTTGAACTGGGGATTTCCTGATCTGTAGCTAATGTATTACACTCTACCAGCTTATTTATTTTAAACATTTCCCCCACGCTTCAGGAATGCCCCAAGGTTGTTTCCACAATAGTATTATTCAAATACATGCAAAGTGAAAACATAATAATAATAAATATAAAGCCAACCATAATAAAAACAGATGAAACGGCAGAGTGCAGTGGCTAAAAACAACTACAGTACAGAGCAGGATGGAGCAAACAATCAGATGAACAAAAATAATCTAATAGATGACTTTAAAGGTCCTGGCAAAAAAAACAAAACAAAAAAAATGCATTTCTCTGATGCTGAGATGATGCCACTGTTGGTGCAAAGAGAAATTCTTCTTAGGATCTTATCTCATGGGGTAAAAAAGGTGTCTTACCTTTTCCAGCTTGAATCCTCTTCTGGGATGCAGCCAGGAACTATCCTATGTAAATGGTCGTCAAATCCACCGGCCGAATATAGCCTGGGTAAATCGCAGCACCAAGCCTCACTCAGCTGGCCCTTTTTCGAGAATGGAAGCTTCCGACTTCAAAAATTGGCTGGCTGAGTATGGGTTGGAGCTGCAGTTTACCCAGGCTTTATTCGGCCGGTAAATTCAGCATTGATTTACATCTGATAGTACCTGGCTGCATCCCAGAAGAGGATTCAAACCGGAAAAGGTGAGACACCTTTTTTACCCTGTGCGATAAGCTCCTGAGTGCCTTGACTAAACAGTCCCTGGCTGCATCTGCATTGCAGAAATAATAAAGTTTGACACTGCTTTAACTGCCATGGCTCAATGGTAGAAAAGTTAGGGATTTACAGTTTTGTGAGCTATTTGGCCTTTTCTTTCAGAGCGCTCTGGTGCCCCAACAAACTTGCATTCCATAGGATGGCACCATAGCAGTTAAAGTGGTGTCAAACTGCATTATTTCAACAGAGTGGATGCAGCCCTCATTTCCATGACTAACACTAGATGGTGGATGGAAGACCATGGAAGATAACTGAAGAATTCAGATACGTGCCTAATACCAAAACCTGGCATCATTAGAAGCAACTGATTTGAGGGCACACAACAAAATAACAAATACCCATAAGAGAGGGAAAGTATTATTTCCTATGCCCGTGGGTAAGGAGAATATTTTTCAGTCCAAGGGATCCAAGGTTGACTCAGCCTTCCATTCTTTCGTAGGCTGGTAAAATGAGTACCCGACTTGTTGGGGGCAATTGGCTTACAGATTGTAACCTGCTTAGAGAGTGCCAAGTTCACTGATAAGCGGTATAGAAATGTAAACGTTATTGCTATTTTGCCAGAAATGTGCTCAGAAAATGGGTTCTCAACACTGCAATTTTGTAACTCCTCTTTACAGAGGCTTCTTTGCTGTGGCTGCAGAACACCAGGAACCCAAACCTGGGATAGGCATCACCTCATTGAATCCTGTGTATGATGCTGATAAAGAAAAAAAAAAATGCTACCTATTTTAATTACATTTGCAAAGGAGGAGGAGGAGGAGGAGGAGGAGGAGGGAGGAGGAAGAAGAGGGAGTGGAATTTGGAAAGGTGTTTCACTGCAGGGAAAGAACATGCTCCTGGACATGGCCTCCCGATCCTGCATGCCAAAGCGTCGCCATCTCTGGTACTTTTGTGATAATTGTAGGCACCTGTATCAGCAACCACAAAGCATCCCGGGTCAATTTCTGCAATGGTAATCCCTGCCAAAGAGCACCGTGGGCCCTTTCCTCTTGTGGGAAACACATTCGTGGTGATGACCTCTCCTCTTCCTCCTCCCTGGTACCCCCTCTCTTGCTCCCCACGCTGTTTTCCTCTCTCTTGCTCCTACCACAGCTGGTTAAAATTACCCTGGAATTTTGTTTTTCTGTCAAGTGAATTTGGATGTGGTAAATCCTTTCCTGCCATCGCCACGGCCTTCCAATGAACGCTCAGGCTGTGTGCAATATACATGATTTAAGGAAAAGCAATCCGGCTGGGGTTGTTTCCGAGTCGGAGGCCCAACACTGCCAAGAGGGTCTTGCTGGCTTGCAGACAAATGGGGCCTGCTGCGAAGGTTGGGGTCGACCCTTGGCAGGAGGTCCATGGGGGGGGGGAAGGAAAAAGAAACCCCCCAAGGCTAGGATGACAAGGTCTGCTCAAGGGACTGCTTTGCTTTTTTGCAAAGATGAAAGCAAAGAAACAACACCTCTCCGTGGGCAGGAGTCCAGCCTTCTGCCTTGAGAGATTACAGAAGCAAGAGGAAAATCCTTCTGTCGAGCCAAGCCAATGGGAAACCTCAGTACACAGAGGGCAAAAGACACATGCTTCACTCAGGCAGCAGAAAGAGCTACTAAACTGACTTGGGATTCATTTGCAAGCACACCGTGCGCATGTGCATTGACCCAAAAAGAATTCCCTCCAGCCCGCTCATCTTTTCATTCCTTGAGTCCCTGAGCTTCTCTTTCCTAAATCCCAACTGCATCTGAGCCTAAGCCTACATTAGAAAACCTATTTGGAACACAAAATATGTAGAGTTGAAACATCATCCCCCTTACAGCTTGGAAAAGTTACTGTCCCAAAGTCCTTCAGCCACTAAGGACGTGGGATTTGGGGAATTATGGGTCTAGGAAAGTTTTGGCATCTTTGAATCCAGCTGCTAAGGTCATGGGATTTGGAGAGTCATGAGTCAAGGAAGGTAACTTTTCCCCCAGACTTTGCAATCCACTTCTGAACCCTGTTTGTATGATACAGCTAGTGGGTTTGAAAATCCAGAATGCATTGAGCCAGGGCAGTCAGTGGTGCTCGGATTGGATTACTGCTGCAGTGTGGATGCCACTTTGGTCTCCAGGATCTAAAGTATGATTTTTTTTTCCTGCCAGTCCTACCTGAAGTTGCCAGGGATTGGGCCTGTCAGCTTCGAAAGGCAAAAGGCAAAGCCACTGAGTTACGTATTCATATTGATGGATCACTGTAATAAGGATGAGCATACTGACTCATCTTTTGAAACTGTAAAGAGGCTAATTGGTTTTTGGGCATACCTGGAGCTGCCCTCAAAGACTGTCCAGGAGATGTAGATCACCTCGTAGAAGCAGGGAGACCCAGTTCTTGTCTTGTCATGCTAATAGTTTCAGGCATAGATTATGGCCTTAGTTACCCTTTCGACATGAACATACACACATGTCATTGTCTTTCTGCATGGGTTCTAATGCTTTCCAGAAACATCAGTGCTAGTAAACTCTCTCCCTAGAGACATCTGTTTGGCTACAATCTCACAAGTCACCAAAACAACTTTTTTAGACACTAGAAAACAAGAAAGATTTTATTGCATCAGCTGAGTCAATGCAGCTGCTTCAAGTTCAGAAACCAAAGCTGAGAGATCCAGAAGGAAGGAAGGAAGGAAGGAAGGAAGGAAGGAAGGAAGGAAGGAAGGAAGGAAAGAATAGTTCTTTCTCTTTCTTTTTTGTTCTTTCCTTCTAGATCATTGCAGGGTGGCACAGTGGTTTGAGTGTTGGACTGCAACTCTGGAGACCAGGGTTCGATTGCCAGCTCAGCCAGGAAACTTGCTGGGTGACTTGGGCAGGTCACATGCTCTCAGCCTCAGGGGAAGGCAATGGTAAACTTCCTCTGAACAAATCTTGTCAAGAAAATTCCATTATCAGTTTGCCTTCAGGTTTTCATAAGTTGGAAACAACAGCAACAATAATTGGTCCATCTAGCATAGGGATGGGAAGCATGCAATCTTCCAAATGTTGCTGGGACTGCAGCTCTCACCATTCCTCATCACTGGCTCTCCTGCTGGGAGAGGCTGTCCAACAATATCTAAAGGGCCACATGAATCCTACCTTGATCCAATATTATATGCTTTGACTAGTATATAATCCTAGTCCAGTATTGTATGCTTTGAATGGCAGTGATTTTCCAGGTTCTTGGGCAGAGAACACCCTTTTCCACCATCCCATTTCTAAACTTTTAAACAGAAAAAGCCAGGGACTAGACTGGTACACACAAAAAATAACTTTTGCCACTGAGTCATGGTCGATCAGGTTTGGTACTGTTTGGTTCTCCCAGGTTTCTCAGTTATGAGATTCCAACATCATTTAAGCTTGGTATGTTAATGTTTGAACCTAGGATCTTCTGCAGGGAACGCTGAAGAACCATGGTCATATTCTCTATTTCGCTGCTCCCTTTGCATGTTGTCCAGCATGTTGTCCTCAACACTTCAAGATACACCCTTCCTCAGCCAACTTTGGTCTATCACTTGCTATTCTTCCAGATCACAACAACTAATGTGTGTCCTTGAGTGATCCTCCCTCTCCTTACACCCTCCTTTTGAAACAGCCAAAGAAAACCAACGTGCTATATTTATTTTCTCAAGACATGGCCAGGAATTATTCCCGTAAGGCTCAGCTTGGCTTAAAGAAGCTGTCTGTGCGTGTCTTTAAGCTTGCCTTTGGCAGAGGGTCTGTTGTTGCTGTCTTGCCTGGCTTGGATAAGGATGCAGGGATGGTTTGACTTAAAGTGAATCCATGAGACATAGAGAGGCAGGTAGAAAGGTGCAAATGAGAGAAGAGGGGGATCTTGTATGCCTCCCAAAGTTTCATTGATACTTTAGATGTGATCTGCATTCAACCTGGGATGAACTAGGTGTTATGGCTCAGCCACAAGTGATTAAACCCCAACGCATAAAAGAGCAACTTCAGAAATATGACTCTACCCATTGTCGTCATGTTTCTTCAAGTTGTCTCTGACTTGGGGCTACTCAATTGGGGATTTTCTGGGCAAGATTTGTTCATTTAGGGTTAGCCCTTGCCTTCCTCTTAGGTTGAGAGTGTGTGACTTGCCCTAATAAGGTCACCCAGTGAGTCTCCATGGCTGACCATGTCTCAACAAGGATTCAAACTCCATGGCTGAGCAAGGATTCAAATTCCAGGATCCTATCCAACACTCAAACCACTACGCCAATGGTGTCTCTATTCTATCCATATGAAAAATTATTTGAAAGATTCCTTGGGTCAAATTCCCTGTGATTAAAAGTCTTTCAATCTAGCTGGAGATGTCTCTCTTCTGAACAAGAAAATGTGAGGCAGGAACATCAACAGAAACTGACTTCAGAGAATGAAGAAAGAGATGGCTGCAGCACGTAAATACATCACCAGAACTTGTTTACATGATTAAAGGCCATCAATACCCTATTTGTTTGTAAAGTTAGATAAGCGTCACTGTGGTCAAGTGCCCAGCTGTATTGTCAGTGCTCAAAAGGGCATCACACTTTGCATTTGCAGGTATCTAAAATGGCAACCACCAAGACCAGGGTTCATTTCCAGCTTAGCCATGAAACCCACTGAGTGACCTTGGGCACATCACGTGCAATGGCAAACCTCCTCTGAACAAAACTTGCAAAAAAATAAAACCCCTTGATAGGTTCTCCTGAGGGTCACCATAAATCAGAAATGACTTGAAGGCACATAAAACATCAATATCAGGATATGAGGCCAGAAGGTGACATAGCTTCCTTCCATCTAACCATGCTGCCACCAGCTGGGGTCAACATATCAGATGGCTGGAATTGGCAGAAGCAGAAAAAGCTGGTTGAAAGCCCCACCATGACAGTGATAATGGGAGGAGAGGAAAGTGGTCTCTTGGAGGAATCATTCAAAGAGTCCACCCCAATTTGCACCAGTTTTGGGTTAGATGAATGCATGGAGGACTGGTTTCCCTGCTCCCATCGCTATCCATGCCAGCTAGAAGCATAAGCCGTGCTTTCAGAAAGTGCATACCTCTGCATTTCAAACTCTGTATCTGATACTTTCATCATACCTTGCTTACGTACATCTCTATGACCAGATGGTCCACTGCTGGAAACAGGAGACTGAGCAAGTGATAGAGTATACATCTGATCTGTCATGACAGTTCTTGGACTCTTATGCTGTTGTTCTCTTGCATCACCTGGACTTCAACTAAGGACTGTTGAATTAAGATATTATGACTATGCAGCAGTTCTTATGGAGGTCACCTCTATTTTCAGCATCAATACTTATTGTAAGTAACTATTCCTATCTGTAATTGATTGTGGGGGTGATATATTCTTCTTGTGATAGCACCTCCCTTCCCCATGGCTGAAAGAAAGATGCAGATTCTTCTCCCTTGTTACGACCACCAGCATGTTGTGTTGTTTCTCAGGTTCATATGAAAACCAATGTTCTCCAGCCTTCCTTGATGTTCATGGTGAGTGGCTATGTGCCTTCATGCCACCTGTCAACTTATGGTGGCCCCATGAATTCCATAGGGTTTTCTTAAGCAAGGGATATTCAGTGGTGGTTTTGCCAGTTCCTTGATGGATCCAGGGCTTATTAGCTAGAGAGTGCACAGACATTTAGACAGTGGGGAAATGAAAATTTGCATACATTCCTCAGTTAACGAGCAAAAAAATCTTGTGTCTGCATCTTTCTTCTACCCCCTCTCACCCCACCTCCGCCCCCTGAAAGATCATCCTCAGGAGGCAACCTTTGGATAAAGGTAGTTGCAAGGAGACTTTGGGACAAGAATGGGGAGCAGAACAGCATTGTGTGTACATAAACATACAATATATGAGAAGAACAACAGAGAACTTAATCACTCAAGTATCTACTCTCCAGCCAAATTCAAAGCATGCCAGATTTCATTCTTTGTGCTTGGGATGGGCTCCCCATTGCTTTGGAATCTAAATTCGGGGGGGGGGGGAATCTAAAAGGCGACCCATAATCCTGTCATCACTCCTTTATGGGGGAAATAGCATTACCAAATCAGATCTTAATCCAGAACCTCCAGGGTTATCAATTTATCCTTGGTTAGTGTTCTTATGCAACCTTGCTCTGGGAAAGCGGACAGTTCTTTATTCTGCAGCCTTTGATCTAGAACTATTTTCCTTCTGTACTGAGTTGTTGCTGATGCTGCTGTTTAATGCAACCTCTCCTGTCCTATACATCTGTGGAGAACAGGTGTAGAACCTTCTGAGAAATAGCAACATGCTGGCATTTGGATGCAATGCTAAATTATGGCAACTCCCAATCACTTCACCACTGACTTGTTGGAGGTACATTTGTTAAGGAGAGAGGGAAAAAATTGGGGGGTAAGGAGTATGAAGGTAAGCCTGTGTGCATTTCAAATGAGTCCATATTAGGAGATGCAAAGAAGTTGCCAAATGGAGACATCCAACCCAGTCCAATCTGGAAGAGTAGTCAGGGCATGAGATGCTCCTAGGGAATAGCTCTGGGGCTGTGACTCAGCTGGAGCCCACTTGTCATCCCTTCCCATCATGAGTCATGATGCCTCCTCTGTTTCTGGCAGGTAGTAACCCTGCCTATGCTTCCAGCCCTCAACAAATTACATCCCCACCCCCTGAAATGTTGGCTCAGATGTTCATGGCCAGAAGGTGGGATGCCAGAACTCCACCCTTTCCAATGCCCACACAGTCCAAAAGAGGGCAGGCGAGCAAGCAAGAAGACACGGGTCTCAGGTCAGCATGGGTGGAGTAATCAATTTTGAAGAAAGCAATATATATAAAAACAGAAGACAAATGCTGAATAGGAGGACGTAGATGGAGAGACCCAAACTGGGCCTCCTCTACTTTCAAGCCAAGGCAGAAATGGCACAGCGTCATTGCTCAGGGTCATTTTTTTCTCTCTCCTCCTTTCATGGGAGATGGGTAAGAAAAGAGAGATGCAAATTGAGAAGCAGGAAGGGGTGCGGAAAGAACAGCAAGACGGAATGCACAACCATCCCAGGCAGCTAGTATGGAAATTAACAGCACTATCCCATACATAAATAAAGGCCGTTGAGTACTATGGAGGCCAAGTCCAAATAACAGAAGCAGGACTGCAGCCCGAGTGAGATATCTGGTCACCCCTTTGCCCATCACATATACATACTCCAGTTTTAATAAGAGAGGAGTGAAACCAAGACACCAGAGGAACCATGAAAATAACTTCTATTCCCGCTGAAGGTCTTAGCTCAGCTTATTCTATTTACAAAGCGAGGCCTTTTGCAAATCAAGCTGATTGTTATATTTGATTGATTTTTTTAAAAAAAAATATGCTTTAAATTAATACACAAAAAAAGAGCTATTAACAGGAATAACTTTGTTCATCAAGTGCTAATATTCTCAGTGTATAAAAATGCATCTACACTACAGAAATAATGCTGTTTGATGCCACTTTAACTGCCATGGACCAATGCTATTGAGTCCTGGGATTTGTAGCCAAGTGTTGCTAGATATAGACCTATTCAGAAGCAACCATGACCTAAATCCAACTGTTACTCCTAACTAGAGCAGGCCCATTAATATCAATGGGAAACTAGTGACTTCACATGGGTGTAAATTCCTTTATTTAATGGGTTGACGCTAGCTGGGACTAACAACTGGGTTTAGACCTTGGTTCAGAAATGTCTAATAAAAATGAATTAGCACAACTAGCGGAAAGTTCATTTGTAGCAACAGAACAAAGCATTCAATCTCTCACATTCCAGATATTGATATTGGGGTTTTAAAAGAAGTTGTGCAAGAACAGAAGACTAA